GTGACACAGAAAGAGGAAGTCCTGTTCACAAGGACACCAATGGCGGCGTCCATCATTGAAGCACTTGCACCTCCATGGACACATCTGATATTAAACAATGTATCTCAAACAGTGTACGCCATATTTCCTCGAATAACAGCTGGGGCAATTATTCTGTTGTTTTCTTAAGGGGCAAAAGGAGGCAATTATTTCAATATTGCTCGTAGGAAGTTGTACTCTTAGTATTTTAATTTTATTTCATTAATAATAATCAAGGAATAAAGAAAAAATACACCGCCATTACAATCACAAAAAAACTGTCACAAAAAAACTGTCACAAAACCTGTGCTTTTGTAAACTACCTGTTGTTTATGATGATCAAATCAAAGCTCGTATCCTATCCAATTGGATATTCAAGGTTTCAATTTTCAACTTGATATGGGGGGAGGAGCTATTATAGAGGGATGATGGTAAGGGGTAGGAGGGGGGTCTATTATTCAAGGGAGGCAATTATTTCAAACAATCCAATTATGTGATGGGGTGGGGGGTGATTAACAAAGGGGCAGTGCTCAACATTTGTTAGTACACCATGCAATTCCACTCTTTACAATTCTTCAATATGACCATACTATGTAACAACACTTACCCTGGAGGTCCCTGAGTGTATGGTCCAAACTGAATCACTCCTTTAAGTCTCTTTTCCTTTTTGCTGAAGAAAAATTCATACTCAAAAAATTTACCCGGATATTCCGTGACCATTGCTTTTGTGAAGAGTCTCCTTTCACCATTGTATAATAAATTCTTGTGTTTACTCCAGTCACCATTTCCGTGTTCTATTAAGTCACTTGTAAGTTTTTTATGTAGTTCCAGAGATTCAACAGTCCAAGTATCGTTTGGAACAGTTGCACCACTTGCCTCAATGTCTGCCATTTCACTGCCTTTCTCTGCTTTGTCAGTTCCTAAATTCTGAAGGAGACAATATAAATTCAAAATAAATAGCTGCATGGCCACCTTAAGTTGGTTTTGAGGTTTACCAGCCTTTGGGATACTGCATTTAAAATCTAAATGTTCAGGCATTGACCAGCTGTGAGGATGATTTTACCTCCCTGGTTTGACCATCAAGAGGAACTTTTTTCTTATAGAGAAGTTAAGCTCAAGTCTACTCCCTATACAACTCAGGTGGGTAACCCAAAAACACATCTGACCCCCAGTCTGCAGACCACCACTACAGACCAGGTCCCCCAACCACCCAATGGACCGGTCCACAGACTACCCCTTCAGACCCCCTCTACAGACCACCCCAAAAATAGAATAGAATTAATAAACAAAGTTTTCACTTACTGCTTATCTAATAGATCACTCATGTGAGCGAAATTCTGAGCGATGCGTTGTGCAAATGTAACAGATTTGGGTTCAGGATCATATCCTTTGCTGTGCATGAAAGAAAGGGATGCCTCAAAATTTGTGCTTCTTCCCCTCCGCCATTTTTATTCAGCCCATTCTCCTGCTGGTTCATAAACTCATCTCGGGCTTCACAATTTGCTCAGCGGAATTATCAATACAAACAAGCTAACACACCTTTAGTAGCCAGATTTAGCCATGTATTGAAGGTAAGAACATTCCTTCTTTTTGTTATTATTTTTGGGGTTTTAAAAACCAAGTCTGTGACGTTGGCACAGTGTAACGCTCAAAATTTCCCCGACATAGTGATCTATTAGACTACTTGTAAGCCATGAAATTTTTATTTATTATTTTTATTCTCCCTTTGGGGTGGTCAGCAGAGGGGATCCATAGGGGTAGTCCATGGGAGAGTCCGGGGACCTGGTCTGTAGCTGGGGTCTTGGAACTCGGGGTTGGTGTTTTTGGGTTACCCACTTCAGGTAGTGGTAATAGAACAGAACTTGAACCTGAAAGAGCTGGATTTCAAGTCCACTGTACTAAATTATCACTCTGCAAAACTAACCCCTTTACTATCAGACTATTTCTTTGTTCTCCCAAACTTCCACTCACATTTCTATTAGATTATTTTTATTAGATTATATGAGCTCGAGTGAGTAGTGAGTAGTGTAACCAATCAGAGAACAGCATTTATGATAGAACACTAGTAGATTTATACTAAAACTCGATAGAAAAACAGTACATGTTTTCTATTTCTTAAATATTTGCTTCTTTGTTTCTAAAACTCTATGGACTGCATGTATACAAATAAAATTTTAATTTGTTTTGTTTGCTGTTTTTTTTTCCTTGATAATTCCTAACATCATTATTAGGTATGTACATGAATTTCCACTACTCAGTGGTGATATTCGGATAGGAACCAAAAAAAAAAAACATTACATGCAGGTCCAAAGTCCAAGATTATGTAATAACCATAAGTAAGCTGGTAAAAACGCCTGATATTTTTTTGCTTTCATTTCATTTCACTTTTTGCTCAATCGTTAAATTTTATTCGTCCCATTTCTTGCTACATTTTTCTTATTTCTTGAGGTGAAATGCTTTAGGCATCGTCTTTTTCAAGATCTAACCATTCTGGTCACCTTGAAAGACCATGACAATATTTTGCATTTCCTTTTATTCAAAATCTCCTTTTGTCGATGAAAATTTTAGATCTTTACCTTCTTAAAACCCATACCTGTGAGTAGCCGTGTTCAAAAGAACTGTATGAACGAAATCCGAGGTCTTTATCACAAGACGTTGGTCGTCCTATGTCACCTTGAATGACCTTCCCCAAAACCAATGACGTAGTACTTGAAATACTCCTGTGACACGATGCTTCTACGAGAGAGTTTGAATTCAAAAATGAAGACAACTGTCTCTTCAAAGACACATAAGTCTCTCGGCTTCTTGACGGGATTAAGCTATTTGTAGAGCTCCCAGAGAAAATTAGCAGAGACGAGCGCTGGAAGATCAGGCGAAGAGCAGAATTTGCCATTTTAAAAATGCGCCGTGGCCGTGTACAGTGTGCAGACACCATAAAACATAATGAAATAACGCCAACGCCACCTGCGTTAAAATACTAGGAAAGTCAAAAGTCCAAACTGCGGTAAAATGTTGAACTTATTTCATCAGCACTGCTTTCCTGTTGTTATCCTTCCGTTGCGTGACGTTACGTCATTGTGACGTTTTATGTAATGCAATTCTATAATCAGCGGTCTCTCCTTCAAGGTCGCCATGACAATCAAAACAGATTGTCTCCTCGAGCGAAAATTGAAGAGTGGGACATTTTGAGCTCGAGTTTTGTTTTCCGTTTATTTTCTAAAAAATACACTATCACAATGAGCGTAAGAACTTACAACCCTTCGGTTCTCATCGGTAATTGGAATGAAGACGTTTGCTTGGAAGAGGTTGGTTTATTTGAACAATTCCATGCAGTTTTTTCCTGGGGTTATTTTAGATTTCTGAATTTGTTCTGATTCTATTCGATTCATTTTACAGGACAAGCTAAAAGATTTCCTTGAGAAAAAAGAAAGTGGAGAACTACTGATTCAAAAAGCCAGCAATCTTCTTCAAAATATTCTCAAAAAGGTTGGGACATGAGTTTATATTTAATAACGATTGCATGGACCCTGAAAAATTCATTTTAATATGTCTATTTTCTAAGCTTTATAAGTCTTTGAAAGTCAGAGAAAGTTTTGGAGAATTCAAAAGTTTATGTAATCCTGGGCCACATGTCAGGCATACATTAACATAAACCCATGAAAAAACATTGTAATTCTCCCAGACTTTCATTTATCTTGCATCTGCACAGGTAAACACTAAACAGTCACTTAATTTCTTCCTGAATACTTTAGTACTTTGTTAGAATTAATTATCTTTTTAAAAGATTTTTATTCTATAAAATTTAGCGGTATACCGAGTGGTATCAAATTGATAAAAGTGATATTCCACATACGTGGATATTACTTTTATCCAGACACACATCAGTGATATCATTTTTGATATCATATTTATCACTTAACTGCACTTGCATTTGTTGGTGTGGATCTTCTTGAGAAGTCTTTGGCAATCTTTCGAAATTTTTGAAAATGTTCGAAAACATCCCTCCTCCCCAGAGAACATCAAACCAGCAGTACAGAAAACAAATAAACAAAATCCCAATTTACAAGTATTTTTATACCATTTGCCAGGTCACCTTATCAGTATCCCATGATGGTTATCTTCATTTCGGCGACACAGTCTGTATCTTTAATCCATCTACTGAGACAACTGTTTCAGCAAATATGGCAGAAAGTAAAATGCATGATGAAAAGAGACTTGTTGGGCCTTGTGATGTGTCGGCATCTAAGATTGTTGATCCTTGCATTCGAAATACTTTCATGATTGGGTGAGTAACGATGGGATTCATTTAGTTGATCATATGAATGCCAGTGCAAATATAATGAACAGCTAGTTTAGATTGTTAATTGCTCAAAGTTTCATGAATACAATCAATCATTCATTTTATCATTTATTAAATAACTGAGAAAATCACCAACAGGGACACAATAATTTGCACTGCAGTGCAAGTTAGAAGTTAATGCTAAATTGTCCTGTTTTCCATTAATCAGAACAAAGTAAATTTTTCAGTCCTAAAATAATTTCATTTTATTTAGTAAATAGTTCGCTAATTACTTAAAGCTTATTTGATGCATTGTTCCTGAAAACATCGCATGCACATTGTAAATCTATAACCTTCCCACAGAAGGTTTCCTGGTTGATGAACCCCCACTCACCCCACCCCTCCAGAAGTTCCAGTTTAACTCCATACTTTCCTTTCAATTTTTTTTCTTTTGAGATCCACCCCCCAACTGCCTCAGAATTTCAATTACCTTCCATGGTTTGGTTATAGATACAGGTATTTTGTGGACATGAACCACACAATTTAATATGCTACTTATGCTGTAGTCGAATAATTATCAACCAATTAATCCATTAGTTTATTTTAAAACTAATTACCTCTTTTTTTGCCCTTTTGTCATCACCAGGCCAAAACCAAATGGTGAAGGAGTCTTAAGATACAATGAACCTTTTACTTTGAGCACACTACCAGGAGTTGGAGGAGAAGTAAGTATAATACTCAGTTTGGTGTTGTGTTGTTTCAGGAAATATCCAATACCTCTCCCAGTGAGGGATTTTTCCCGGGGGGGTAGGGTTGGGTGGGGCAGGGGTGCTTGTCATACTTTTTGGAGGTTAAAAAAGAAGTTTTGTACCTCTTAGGGTGTTTATCCTCAAAAGGTCCACAGCAGGAGCTTTTGTTCTCAACTGCTACCTTTAAGGCTATTGGGCCAAAAAACTATGACAAGAGATAATGTGACTGTTGTTTAGAATTGGTAGCTCTTAGGGGTTAAAACATTTCAAGCCACGCCCAATAAACAGGGTCTTAGTACCTCTTAGGGGTTCTTTTCAAAATGTCCAACAAACACCCCTGCGCCTTTTATATGGAAGTTCGATTCCCCTCCCTCCTGGGGGTTTTTGGCTTGAGCAGCCAAACAGGCACAAACTCCCCGAAATGAAAGCCCAGCTGAACAAAAAGACAGCTGGGAATGCAGAATACATCTGTGCTATAAGAAAATATGTAGAAAAGGACTTTTCCACCACATTTTCCACATTGGTTCCATGAAATAACTGGGTATCATATCTAAAAATAGCCTAAGAGGAATTACCTTTGGTGTTAAGGCCTATATGGGGGATTCACTGTCTAATACATTGATCTTCCCTTGTGCGTAAAGAGTGCCTAATAGAAATAAACTTTCATTGGAACGCAAACCAAGGACCTAATCCACTTGTCCAGACAAAATACTTTGGTGCATCATTCCCTTAAAGTCAATCACTTGCACCCAGGTGGAAATTGCTGTCAAAATTTCCATCCTTGCCATATTTTTGCTGGAGTTTCACAGAGGCTTTATAAATCGCCAGGTGATTCATGTCCCACTTAATTTAATTCTATTACCTGTTGATGTGTCATAAATTAATTTGAATAGCATAAATTAACACAGATAACGATTTTTTGCAGCTCAAATTGATGAGCGATAGAGTATCATTCAATGAATGTGCAAAGAAGTCCAGGCAACAGAAAGTGACTCTGAACGAAAATACAACTTTTATGTCTCACTGGTAAGTACAGTATCATTTGCTGGCGTTTTGATTATTTTTCCCTGGCTCGAGCAAAGGGGTGAACAAAAGGTTTCACAGCGTGAATGCTGCCTTTCAGTCTCGTTGCTTGAGAAAACAAATCCTTTAGGAGGACTAGCTGATACCGCACATAATATGGAAGGGACACTTTAGTTGCGTTTTCTTTCATTTTGGTTTCCGTTTTGTTGTGATTTCTTGCTTTTTAGTTCGTTTTGTTGGGTTTTGTTGCGTTTTCTTGTGTTTCGTTGCTTTTATTTTTGCGTTTTCTTGTGTGTTTTTTTTTTCTGTTCTGTTGCGTTTTGTTGTGTTTTGTTCTGTTCTGTTCATTGCGTTTTGTGTTTTGTTGTGTTATTTCCGTTATGCTACATTTCACTGCGCGTGTATTTGCGTTTTGTCATGTTTTGTTGCATTTTGTCGTTGTGTTATGTTTTCGCGTTTTGTTGCGTTTTGTTCTCTTGTTTACATGTAGTTGTGTTGAGTTTTTTTGCGTTTTTTTTTTGGGGGGGGGCGGTGGTTTGAGCGTTTGTCGTGTAGTGTTTTGTTTCGTTTGTTGCGATTTTTTGTGTTGTGTTGATGGCGGCGACACTCATCAGAAGTTTCAAAAACACCCGTACCAAAGTTGACTCTTTTCTCACCAGACAATATTGTGATCTGTCGTTGGTTTGTAGATTAGTTATATACCTGTGATGTCAGCTTACCCGAAAACAAAATATTCTCGTATGAAGCTAACAAATCTGTTGATAACAAAAATTATGTATATTTATTTCAGGAGAATTCTTTGCTTTGATCCTCAGCAGCGCCTTGAAACGGAAGGAATGCCAATCCCGGTAAGTGAACCTCCCCCAGTGTCATGAGACATCGTCCCACCCA